ATATTAAAAGGGAATCTATTTTATAAATTTATTAAAATATTTTTAATAAAATAATATAAAAAAATAATTTTATTAAAAAAATAGTACATACTTAAATTATATTATTTCATTTCATTTAATTAACTTCTATCCTACGATTTTATGACTTGTGCGATTCACCAAAAACTAGGACCAATTCTCACCGATGGTAACGATGACTTCTGCTATTCAATGTTCAACCCCTTCTGCAAACACTCATCTCTCGATCAATTCTCCTTTTTAGACAGCAACAAGGGCAACAAAATAACTCTTTTTTTGCGACAACTCAACTGATGAGTACAAAGCACCAACCAAAATTTTGCATGATAACGAAGAATTAGTATCTATTTAATCGTTTACGAAATAAACTACGATAAACAATTAAAAAAGAGTTTGTTTAACTTATATCTTTAAAATATAAGTTAAAAGTGTAATTATTAAATTTTTTTTAGATTAATTCTTATTAAAAAATTAAAAAATATTATTAATTTCATCACTAATGTCACATGAATTATTTTAATTAAATAATTACTTAAATAAAAATTAATTTTTTATTTTTTTAATAATAATTAATAAAAAATTAAAGAAATTACATCATTAACTAAGGGTACTAGTTAACAAAATCCATTAAAAAGTTCATCAAATCAATGTCCATATTAATTTTGTCTCTATTAATTGACGGTGGGAATTAAATACCATGAGTTGAAAACTTGCGCAGGGAAAGGCTGAACGAAGGGACTAAGGTTTAGGATTTTAATATATTTTTTTAATTTTAAATTTTTTTAAGAGTTAAAATTGATTTGCATAATTTTATTTCAAAAATATAAAAATCAAGATGTCCTGACGTTCAGGACGTCTTGACACTCAGGACGTCCATTGCAGTCATTCATTAGTAAACCCTAATCTTGGGATCTACTCAACGAATGACTGTGATAAATGTTCTAAATGACATGACGTCCTCATTTTTCAAGTTCTCTTTCTATTTTATTAAAAGTATTTAATAAATTTATAAGATGGATTATATTTTTATACAGTTTACCTTTTAAAACACTTTTATAAGGGTTAAATACCTGATTTAGTCCCTCAACTTTTATTTTTGAACTAAAACTATCCTTAAATTTTAAAAAGTACCAAAAATATCCTTAAACTTTAATTTTTGAAACCAATTTAGGGTGCATTTGGGTTGTAATTGAGAGCCATTTTCATGTAGTTGTACAATACTTTTAGATATTTGTGTATTTGATAATATTTTTAGATTACTTTTTCTAAAATATATAGAAAATCACAGTAAATTTATAATAATTTTATGTATAAAGTCAGGAGCTCTTAAGATTTTCAAACTGTGACTTTTATAAAGAATATTTAATATTTAATATTTAATATTTAATATAATTATAAAATTACCAATTAAAACTTAATTTCATATAATTTAATTACATCATAATTTATAATTTTTTAATATTGATAACAAATCTTAAAAGCTTAAATTATTAAAAAATAATAAATATTATCTATTTTAATAATTATATATCCTACAATATTTTTAAATTTTAAGTAATAATTAATAAAATTTATCATATTTCTCCTACAATATTTTTAAATTTTAAATAATAATTAATAAAATTTATCATATTTCATTCATAATACTTTTAAAAAATAAATAATCAAACATCAAAATAACTTTCAACTATAGTTATAGTATAATATATTTTAACGTAGTAACAGTCACAATCGTAATACTTCACAGTAATTCTAAACACACCTTAGTTCTTCTATCAGTTAAGCGCTCACATGGATTGTTATATCATCCAAAAATAAAAATATTTAAATCCAAAATATTAGGTGGTAATTCTAAAATTATTTTATTGATGAGTGGATAATTTCTTTATATCCATGTCAAATTTATAAGTGAATCCTTTTCTTTACAAATTTTAATATATTAATTAATTAAATTAAATATACTGAGAGCAGTCACTTTAGTAGGTTGTGTAAATCCCAAAAGACTTAACTTAATTATTTTTTTAATGTATAATTATTTTATACTTAATTAAAATAAATAGTGAGACCCACGTATTAATTAATTTTCTCTCCCATCCCTCCCCTTTTCCTATGTCCCTTTCTTCCGATGTATCTTCTCCCTGTCTTCAATCTTATCACAATAAAACTCATTTAAATTTATCAAAAAAACAAATCAAAAATTAATATTAAAGAAAGCAAAAATAATCTTATCACAATAAAACTCATTTAAATTTATCAAAAAAACAAATCAAAAATTAATATTAAAGAAAGCAAAAATACTCATTTCTATTTAAGAAAGCAATCCCAATTGCCACAAATCTTAGATGGCACACTTAATTTACAGATAAGGAGTACATAATTCAAGTTTTCTTTCCTAAAAATAAAAATAAAAATCACATAGAAGAAAAATACTATTCTTACACATTTTTGTGGAAAAAAAATTCAAAATTAATAATAAAAACAAATGCATTTAAAAAATTTATGGGTTTTGCGCAAAACCTAGATCTAGGTTTTGATTCTAGCTACAGACCATGCTAATCAAAACCTTATTTTGATTAGGATGCAACCGAAATCTAGTTGAAACCTCATTTGGGTGACCCAACTTGGTTTGGGTTTTGCCTTAGATCTAGGTTCCCAAATCCCAGATGGAAAAGAAAAAAGGAAGAAGGAAATAAGGAGAGAGGCGAAAAAGGGAGGAGGGAGAAACGAGGAAGAGAATGCCAACACAGATGACAAAGAAAGGATAAGAACATCAGTGCCAATGTTGAAGAGGGGGAGAAGGTAATGGGAATAGAGAGAGAAAGGGATTGCCGGATTGGGGAAGAAGATACGAGAGGGGGTAATTGTGTAATTTTCTATTTTACTTTATTAATTTTATTAAGAGGGACCCATTGGTTTTTAATTTTTAAAGTAATTAAATGTCATATAAGAAAAAAAACTGCCACCATGTCATTTTCACCTAATATTTAAAATTAGGAAAATTGATTTTTTTAGGAAAATTTTGGTAACTGACAGAATGACTAAATTGATTCAAAAAATTAAAGTATGAGTATACTCTTTATATTTTTTTAAAGTTTAATAATAATTTTAGTCCAAAAATAAAAATTGAAGGACCAAATCCAGCATTTAACTTATAATATACTATAATTGACTCGGGGGTGCTCCAGGTCTTGAGTGGACCAGGTCTAGTCAAGGTAAAGTCAATAGATTGTACTATGTTTTCCCAGTTTCCTAGTTTTCACACAAGGAAAATTTGTGAGAAAATGCCTAAATTTTCATGCATGTTGCAAGCAATCCAACAGCGAGATGGTTGTTGTGTAGAAAAGAAAGCTTCCGTTGTTTACCCAAAAAAAAAAAAAACAGAAAGCGTCCCTCAACTTTTCTACCTGTGAAGATGTAATGCTTCTGCTCCTGCATTCTTTTATCGTATCTGGTAAGTTTGCAATACATCTGCGCGGAACCGTTGCTGTAAACTCTAAAACCTTTGGTGCTCAGAAGACTATTAATAATATTTGCGAAGCGAGAAATTTCGCTCGATGGTGAAGTTTGCATTGATAATACCATATATTTATATATATATATATATATATATTTTGAACAAAAAAGAATTTTTAAGGGAAGGGGATCGTAATTGTAGAGCTTGAGATTTGAACCAAAGTCAATACGTCCACTGTACTCTTGAAAGAGGGTGGCCCAAGGATTGGACGATAATACTATATATTATTTTATATTTACTATTATAAATATATATTTTATATAAATTAAATATAAAACTTTATGAATCTGCCTTTCGACCAAGTGACTCTAGCCATGCTTGTAA